CTCGATTGGGGTGGGTGGACTGATCCAACTCCCCAAATGAATGGAAATGGTGAACATGCCTAACCACTTCGCTACCACCTATCTTTAAACTTGGAGTCGGTGGAGAACAGTCGTGCAGTATTATCGGTATCCATTGTAGGGAACAGTAATAGTGTCGATTAACTTTTCATTTCACAGAACAGTAAAAGAGTAATTTATAAGCACATCGTTATTAGTTGACTCAGCCACCCTCAGCCCCTCCACTCCCAGAAATAAAAGAAACAACAACAATAATATTCAAGTATTGGTTTTGTAGGGATTTTGTTTGATTGCATGGAGGATTTCATCATGAGCTGACATTAGTTAGAGAACCATTGGAAAACCAGCTAGGAGCACTGTACAACTGCTTCGTCCTAGTTTGGGACTCTTCATCAGTACGCATCCACCGGGGTTCGAACCCAGGACCTTCTGATCACAAGGCGAGCTCGTATACCATTAAGCCACTGGGCCCCTTATCCAATGGCCCATGAATTCTATCTTCTACCAATTCACGACATAGCGCGACCATTTCGCAATGTCTTCTTCGACGAGTTACTGCCACCACTGAAGAGTCCCAAACTAGGACGAAACAGCTGTCCAGTACTCCCAGGTTTTCCAGTGGTTCTCTAACTAATGTCAGCTCATGATGAAATCCTCCATGCAACAACAATAATAATAATAAGGCAACACATACACCCACTGGCATTTTAAATCCAGTCGATACGATAAAACTTACGTAAACATCAAGTAAGTAATATCAGACTAAAGAATCTCAAACAACATTAGTCCATGGTACACTGTGAATTGTTGTTATTAGATGGTTGGAGGCAATCGGCCCCAGGAAGCCTTGGACAACCTAGATTTCGTGCTAGTTGGCACAGACTAGTCAACAAGGCGTATCCGCAACCTCGAAGGAACTCATGTCCCCCCTTCTGAGATCCAAACCCGCGTCACCCAGTGCAGTGCTTCAGTCAGAGACGAGGTTACCAATGAGCTGTTCATCAGGCTCGTGATTGACCTCCTGTAGGATTGTATTGGATATCTTTGATTGGATAGGTCCAAGGCTACCTGTGGCCGATTGCCTTCAACCATCTAATACCAACAATTCACAGTGTACCGTGATGGTGAGCCATATAGCAAGCTTGATGGATAGACTTCAGTCTGCACCGAAGATAAGACTAGACAATTTTACACTAGTTACTAACTAGTGACCAGTCAAAAATATTGGCCCTTTTAAAATAAATTAGGATGTGATTTACCTTGGAGACAAAAAAAACTATGTTTATTTGAAAAACAAGACGACGCGATGTATATTTACGCAGTACATATTTTTTAAATTAAAAAAAAACAACACTGATCGCACACATTCCTTTTCATTTATAATTTCTCATTTTTCACATAAATTCAGATTGTTCTTTAGAAAATATACTGGACAAATACATCACATCACACTGTGTGTATGTGTGTGTGTGTGTAGGTATGCGTTTTATTTCTTCAGATAAATTCTGTGTTTTAACACAGAATACTGCTCACAATGTACTCATATATGTATATTGCTCTAGTCTTTTAAACAATCTATCTGTAAAAAGGCAGTCATAAATGTGATACTTGAAGATGAAGTAGAAATTTGAATTGTGTAGGAGAATACGAATCTCACCTTAGAGATTCAAGTAGTTCATTAGGTCTTATGATGTTGCCACTTTTATCACATTTTGCATTATAATAAAATAAAACAGCAACATTAGATTGGTAGGTAGGAATGGAGAAACTAGACACAGATGAGGTGATCAGGCAATATGGCTAGGTTATCATGAGAATATTGTCAGCTTCACAACACTGTTTACAATCAGAATTCCTCCACTGCTTCACTCACTTTACTCTAGCTGGTGCTCCTCAAGATGCTATTCTTTCTCTTTTTCTGTTTTCTTTCTTCTTAAATCACTTACCATATTCTCGCGAAGCCAATCTTGTTAAGTATGTCGATGATCTGACTGTTTCCAAGCCTGTCACTTCTCAGTCAGATAGTTCCAAAATGAATAACTTTTTATCAGAAATTAGTCAGCGGTACTTGAGGTCAATTGGTCCCAAGCTAAATCCCTTTAAATATCAGGTTGTTAGTCTTACTTTCAGATGCAAGCGTGACTCACATGAACTGGTTAGTTCGCAAAGTTGCGCTATCATAGATGGCACAGAAGTTGAAACTAAATCAAATGTTAAATACCTTGGAGTGTGCATCCACCCCACCCCTCTGATCGTTCTCGGTCTTCCCACATCATGTTGGTTTCTTGAAAGGTATTTTGTTTAACTTTGTGCGTTAGGAAAACAAGATAGTCTGGTATCACTCAGTCTCTACTTTTTTTTTTTGATTTACAGCTTGATTCCACACTGTATTTTTGGTACAAGTATGGAATTTTCAGCATGGATATCGGTAGACCAAATTTTGCAGGCCGACCATAGATATCAGGTGTGCGCCGGTGTGGGCTCGAACCCCGGACCATGTGCATGGTCGGCGAGAGTCCTAACCACTGTGCCACCGACGCACAATTTGTTAATTTTTGTATTCTGTCTATTACTCTTTATTGCTTCCATCTTAATTTTTCCTGAGCTACTTATGAAAGACTTTCTTACACTGTAAAGGGGACTGAAAGCAGTCAGTAGGGCGAGTAAGGTACGGGTGGACAAACTTGTTAGTACTGTTATAGGTAGGCACATAGACTCATGTACGCAAATGGCGAATATTATCTCTCCAGACCCTGAGCATCCTCGTTACACACAACTCTCCTCTTGTCTCATCTCATCAGGTAGGGGGACTAAGAGTAACTATAGAAGACTGTATATACTCGGATGACTAAGTATAAAAACTCGAAGATACCTTACTTGGCACACACTTAATGTGATGAGAAGCCTGTAACGCAAGCCACTACTAATTTACTGAGAAACACTAAGTAAGCGGCTACTTTTCTCTCGTTATTACATTGTTGTTCATATTTCCAATTGAATTTTAATTTCATACTCCTAATGAAGGCCTTATTTTAGTTATTACCCCTGTAATGCGAAAACTAGATGTAATACTGTACTGTACTATATGGTGAAAATTCCATATTTGTATCCATAGAAGACCCGTTTGGAATAAAGCTATTGTTAGGTAATACACATTCAGAAAGTACACACATAAAAGTTGGGGGGGGTGGTGGTGACGGGGAAAGGAAATACAAAGGGACACTGTAGCAAATAGAAATGTACAGAAGGAAGAATAAGGTGAATTTAATGAATCTAGATCATGTGAGCTCACAAGGAATTCTAACCATGTTGTCAACAATCCCCAGAGTCTTGGAGACCCTAGCAAGCCATACATACCAACTACTACAGACTCAAACCGACAGTGAGAAATTTTATAGATTGACATGCTGTGTTTATTTTTGTTTGCTTTGATGACACTGATCTCTTTTTTTTCAACCCTATTTTACGCCAGTTAACACTGTTTGATGAAGAAGGCAATAATCGATTGACCTAAGTACTACTAGTCAATAAATCAAGTCCAACAATTGCCATATTTCTTGACTTGAAGGCGGCCTTCGACTCCGTGGATCGAAAGGTACTATGGCAATGTTTGACTGTGAAGCGAGTGCCAAGAAAGTACATTGCACTAATCAAGGCACTCTATTCAAACTCACGTAGTCGTATAAGGGCTTATGGGGAATTGTCATCTGAATTGATAACAACCAGTGGTGTCCAACAGGGATGTCCACTTTCCCCACTCCTGTTTAACTTCATCATAGATATGCTAATGGAAGTATCCTTAACTGAATTTAACGACTTAGGAATCGAATTGTTACCAGGGAATAGTCTTATGGACTAAGAATATGCAGATGACATAGTCCTGTTAGGGGAGGATGCTGAAAAAATGCAGAGTCTTCTGAACACCTTCAGCAGCAATCTTCGTATGTTTGGCATGCGATTCGCCCCTGCAAAATGTAAGATGCTGCTACAGGACTGGACTACGTCAACTCCTAGCTTGGTGATAGGGAGTGAAGTGATAGAACATGTTGACCACTTCACCTATTTGGGAAGTCGTATCAGCAGCAACGGACTGTTTGGCGATGAAATCTCAGCACGGATCCAAAACGCTCGAGCTGCTTTCGCTGAATTACATTATCTCTGGTGTAGGCGTGACATCCGACTATCAACCAAGGGACGTGTGTACTGCTCATCAGTTCGTTCCGTCCTTCTCCATGGCTCTGAAACATGGCCAATACGAGTTGAAGACATGAAAAGGTTGACTGTTGTTTTTGATCATAGATGTCTGCGATCTCTTTCTCACGTTAGGTGGTCTAATAAGGTAAGTAATGTTGACGTTAGGCGTAGAGTGTTGGGCAGGCAAAGAGGGAAAATCAATCGACGAGGCTATAAAGTTACATAGGCTGAGATGGCTAGGTCATGTGGTGCGAATGCCTAACCATCGCCCCTACCCGCCCGACGGGCATTACTAACTGATATAGGTGCAGGTTGGAAAAGAGTAAGTGGTGGCCAAACAAAAACATGGCCTCATCAATCCATGAAATCCTTGACAGTTAAACTGAGTCGGTCAGGTAGGGAGATGCAAACTTCCGGGTTGCGGCCATCGGGACTCTAGGAATCAATGGCTGGAGACAATAGGTGACATGGCTCAAAATCGTTGTCAATGGCCAGCGCAGATGTATTCAGTCTCTGTAGTCTTTCATATTTCTTTCTACCATTACCCATTCTGTTTCGCTCTTATACCTGTCAAACTCTATTGATTCTCTTCATTCATCTTCTTGTCTACCTTTTTGTGGTATTTGGAACGTGGCAACTCGAACTGGTGCACTTCGGTGCCAAGTTCTATGTTGAATCTAGACAGAAATCAAGTATTATTTTCTGAAAACTACCTGGTCTTGCTTCACAAACTTAGTAAAAAAAACGAAAAAGAAAAAAACCAAACAGCACAGTGTAAATTTACTTACCGAGCAGCAACATTTCCACTATTTATGCGAACTGGTGAAATATGCCATGGACAGTTATACTTTTCCATGCGTATAAAATCAAATTGGCAACATATTGCAGGCTCTGGACCACATGTATGCGGAATATCATAGGAAAAGAATGGAAACATGTGTGCAAGCATACCATGAGATTTAGTTGAATCTGGAAGAGAGAATAAAAAACGGGGACAGAGATATAAATGTTGGTATGAATATTTATGTTTATATTTTATGTGAGTGTGGTCAACTCAATAGTAATGTTTTTAACTGCAAACAGCACTGGGTAACGCGGACTGGACTCCCAGAAGGGAGATTATTTCCTTCAAGATTGCAGATACGCTTTGTTAACGAGTGTCAAAAAGGACGAAACCTACGTCCTGGACTTCCTGTCAATCGCCTTAAACCATCTATACGCCAATGTGTTTATAGATATGACTAGGATGCAGGCGTGTAGGCATTTTGCAATAGATTCATTTTCTTATATGTATTTTATTTATTTATTTAAACGCATATAAACTTGGTACAATATGGCACCAAGAAGGATGCGCCACACAATAATAATAAAACAACATAGATCAAAAGAACGAAGAGAAAAAATATACATATAAGTAGGGAACGGATAAAGAACTTCATCTTGAAGGAAAGCAGTCATGCTTAACAAGTTCAAACAGTATTCATTAACTATCATCGGGAAGGGAAGAAAGAAGGAAATTGCAACACGTGTAATAGCACGCGATAAGTTTCATTGATTGTTTGTTGCTTCATTCAATTCATTGTGTGAGGGCTGAGATACTGCCCGGGTGCAGGTGGCTTTATCAAGGGACTACCCAGCGAGCCTTTGACTTGAAGTCTAATCCGCAAGGTAGCGGAGCAGCGTCAGGAGCTGCATTCCCATGGTTTCCGGTGACCCATTTGGGTTCATACACCATTTGATCTGATTGGATACTGGAGCCCATGTACTTTCTTTCACTTTTCTTTTTCACACACAACATTATGTGTTTTTCAACCATACAAATAATTATGATGCAATATTGATTATTAGATTTCTTGTGTGACCTGTTGCTCCAAGATCTTAGTGCCTTACATGTATATTCAGGTATGCCATATTCTCTACACTAGCTAATGAAACTTTTGTTACTTTTGTTTGAATGATTATTGTTTAATCCTTTATTGACCACATTTTTCATATGATAATAATTTTATCAGTCTGAAGCAATCTCGTATCGGTTATTGATTATGTAGTTCTTTATATCTCCCTCCTAATCCTAATGATGACTAAGGAGATAGGTGCCTTGTCGATTTCGCCAATGTTCACATATCCCCTTGTTGATCCTTTGTACGTGTGTGTGTGTGTGCGTGTGTGTGGCAGTAGGCATTCCCATAGATCATCAATCATTTGTCAAGCACCAGAACACAATAGACGATAATATTTATATGGTTTGTGTGATTAGCAACTTTCAAATGTTCTATTGTGATCCCGTTCTCTCAGAAGACGACGTTAACACGCTTATCCTCACACAAACACTCATCATATACAGAAATATAAAAATTATTTTATAAAATATCGTTCATCTATTCAACCATTTTTCTGGCTATTACCACTAGACACGTATATGGCAATCTCCGGCGCTTATATCTCTTTTTACAACTGCTGAAGCCCATTTTCCACTCCATATGTACATATAATACATGCGTCGGTGGCACAGTAGTTAGGACTCTTGCCGACCATGCACATGGTCCGAGGTTCGATTCCCTGCCGACGCACATCTGATATCTACGGTCGGTCTGCAAAATTCGGGCTACCGATATCCATGCTGAAAATTCCAAAATACAGTGTGGAATCAAGCTGTAATAAAAAAAAGAAGCATCGTTCCAACTACAGCTGACTGCACGGATGAGAACGACACAGTCCGAACCGGAAAGGGGAGATATACCTTCATTACTCTGAAATCAATTTGGAAATCTATTGCGGTCACCATAAAGAATATTCCTCGGATTTCTAGCACCAATTTTAAGTCAGTCACTTCTACTATATGCGTCAGAAAACTTGGTGAAAGCGTCACGAGAAGTATTTCCAGCAAACCACTGCAGACTTTTATCAATAGCTGACTCCTGTCGATACTGAAGATGCGATGGTCAGCCAGAAAGAATTAGCAACAAGAAACTCTAGGGATGAACCAATCAAGAATCTATTGTTCAATAAATATGCAAAAGAAAATGGAGGTGGATCGGATACATGCTGAGAAGACCATTGAGTGACATCAAGTGCCAGACCAGTCGTCGAGTGAAACCCCGATAGGAAACGATAAGTCCGAGGGTGACATGGAGGATATCGTGAGGGGAGGAGATGAAATCTTATCAGCAATCGTGGGTTCAATCGAAGAGGACTGCAGAGAACAGGACAAGATGGAGACCTGCTGTTGTAGCCCAATTTTCTACTCAGAACCCAACGGAATAATAATGGAATATTATATTTACAATCTATTCGATAGATCATTATGATGAGGAAAAAAGTTCTGATCTTCGTTGTTGAAGAAACATACACTGAAAAATAGATCATATATGTTTGTTTTAAGTTAATTACCCGGATCAGATTTTTCATGTGCTGAGTTATGAGCCAAACAATCACAATGATGAGGGTGTTGGTGCAACTAAATTAGGGGGGAAGAGGGCAGCAGAGTTTATAACTAGGCACAACTAGTCGAAAATTGAATGTTTAAGCTAATTGGTCGCACTTAAGAATGCAGAGATGGCGTAAATACGAAATGTATGTAAGATATATTCAGACGATGTGACTGATGTTTTTTTAGCTTAAAAAAAATTAGGTTGATCGAAACTTTTATAGATAAAAAACAATTGGTTCAAAAGAGATCTTGAGCGAAAAGAAAATCAGTGTATTGCATAATCACAGAGCCTAGAGAACAACTACGTGATAGCACATGACCTTTCTGAAGTGCCTATTGGGTGATGAATTTATATGAAGACCAAACCACCAGAGAGTAAGTAAGTCAGGATGTACAATTTACTGAGTCAAAATATTTTTTAAACCACTCTCACTGTCCTCCAGAACAAGGAGGGCAGGAGGTTAGCTAGCTTGTCGGTCGTCTGAAGAAAATACCTTATCGCTCTTATATCCTGATTAACTAACACAATGAATCCGCCCTAAGATCCTGCAACATACAATATAAACGACCATCCTGGAACCTAATGGGAACATTCATTGAAGATATTTTCGCCTGTAGGGTCTTTGCGATATGTAAGACTAACCACCACGTCATGGCAACAGCTACTAGTAGATAGACAAAGCCTTCATCCTTCTATGAATATATTCATCCGTATTTGTTTATTTTATACTTGAATTTGTGTCATTAAAAATTTTAAGAACGGATGTCTATTCCTTCTTCCATACTGAGTAATGGAGACAGACACACTTCAGCACATTAGGTGTGTGAGAAATGAATATCATTATTATTGGTCCATTGGGTTACTAGTGGAATATAGGTCTTCAGCTGCACGTCTCCGCTTGCCTCTGTCTTCTGCTGTGCTTTTCACCTCCATCCATGTTAGTTAGTCCATACTGTTTCAACTCCTCTTCACGCGATATCCTCCATGTCACCCTTGCACCGACGTCCCACTCGCCTCTTCCCTATCGGGTTCCACTCAAGCAATGGCCTAACGCGCGCGTGATATTACCCAGCGGCCTCCTTAGCGAGTGTCCAATCCATCTCCACTTTCTCCTGCATATTTGTTGGCTGGTGATTGGTTCTTGTTTTGTTTGTTCCCAGCCAGAGTTTCTTGTTGGTGGTGATTCTTTCCGGCCCGGCCATCTGATCTTCAGTATAGAGCCAGTGAAGACAGTTGTTGATAAAGGTCTGAGTTAGCCTGTTGGAAATATTCTTTGTGACCCGCCCGTCCGCCAAGTTTCTGTTCCGTATAGAAGAACTGACTAACCTGACCTTTGTATTGAAAATCCCACCGAATTTTGTTGTTTTATGCTGAGTGACGAAGATTTCCAGATTGGTTTCAGATTGATGAATGTGTTTCTCGCCTTCCCGATTCTCGCTCGATTTGACATCCTCGTCCGTTCCGATGGGCTGTAGTTGAGAGAATGCTCCCAGATAAGTGAATAAAGTAATCTCTTTCAAATCCCTCCCGTTGATGGTGATTGGTGCTGGATGTTGCTGCTGCTGCTGTTGTTGTTGTTGTTGGTTGGTTGGTTATTTTCATAACCTCCGTCTTGTCTATGTTCACCTGGAGTCCTGTCTTCGCCGGCTGCTTCTTCTACCAGCTTTTCGGTTTTCGCTTGTAAGTCTTCGATTTTGTGTGACATCAAACATAAATCATCCACGCGCGAAATCCAGATCTTCTAGGTTCTTCACGTCGGTCCAGGATATCCCTGTCTTCTCGTTTCCAACAATTAGGAATATCATTGGTGATAATAAGCACCCTTGTCTGACTCTTGTGTGTTTACTCCAAACGCCTCGCTGAGTCTTCCGTTTTGGATCACTTGACATGTTCCGTTGTCGTACAGCTGTTGAATAAGGTTGATGAATATTTGGGGTACGCCGTAGTACTCGAGTAGTTTCCAAATTACTTCACGATCAACGCTGTCGAAGGCCTTCTCAAAGTCTATACAGTTGAGATGGTTGATTGTCATCATGGACGTACATAAGTGTTGGAGAATTATCGCCAACGGCAGAGTACTGTTTGGCAATGAACCAACCAGCCAAAAACTTACCACCCAACAGAAGAAATTAAGGTGAACTGAACAGCAAACACTGACGGATACTATTGGGTGACATAGCGCTTCAGGTTTGCCTTCCAGTGGAGTCCGGCATCATTTCAAAAATGACATGGAGATCATTTCAAGAGGAAATGAAAGCTTATGAGCAGCTGCTAGGCCAGCTAAAAAAGGATATGCTGTTGAAGCCTTATGCTCTGCTCTAATAGCGACTTAAAGGAATAATAATACAGAGAGCTGTAGGGCTATTTTCGCCTAGCCGTTTGGCATTCTTTAGCAGGACTGAAACCAGAATCTGCGAGTAACAATATCAGTAAATTCACCAATCGGGCATTAGATTGGAAACTGACCCAATGCGTAGTGCTTAATAAACTAACTTACCCCATAATTGATACCAATAGAATTCTAAAGCTTTTTGCAGAGCTAAATACTTTTTCACTTCATAATGTACACGATTGATAATCATATGAGAGAAACCGAATTTTTTAGCCAAATATGCCATAGTGGAACTTTGTCCAAATGGATCAATAGACCAGGTTGTATTTGGTCGATAGTCTAAGCAAAATTCCAATGAAAAAGAAAGAAAAGAAGAAAATATTATAAATGATAATTGTACGTGAAATGTAAAACAAGCTAATTCACATTAACGCTTATAAAGGAATACTTACAACACTGTTTTAAACGGACAGTGAAAATAAAACACTAGTTACTAGTGTCCAATCAAGATATCCACTACAGTTCTACAGGAGGTCAGTCGTGAGCTTGAATAGCTCACTGGTAATGTCTCTCACCCAAAGGAACCCAAGTACCAAAGAAGAAAGACAGATTGAACAATGGGCGGATCACTTCAAAGGACTCTTGAACCGAACACCACCTGCAACCCGGCCAGAAATACCAACAACAGCACGTACACAACTGCAAGTTCACACCGATCCTCCAACGAAAGCTTAAGTCTTGAATGCAATCAAGCTTTTGAAAGCTGGGAAAGCAGCTAGCTGGACCAGATGGAATACCCCCTGAAGCACTGAAAGTGGACCCAGAGACTACAGCAGATATGCTGACTCCATTATTGCAAAAGGTCTGGAAGGAGGGAAAGGTGCCTACTGACTGTAGGAAAGTTTACCTCGTGAAACTACGAAAGAATGGAGACTTAGGACTCTGCAAGAACCGGCGAGGAATCATGCTCCTGTCGACGCCAAGTAAAATCCTGACTCGCATAATCCAGGAGAGAATAAAGGACACAATATATACAGAACTCCGACCAGAAGAAGCTGGATTCAGGAAAGGAAAATCGTGTTCTGACCAAATTGCAACCCTACGCATCATCATCACAGAACAAAGCATGGAATGGCAATCTAACCTCTACCTCAACTTTGTGGACTTTGAGGTCTTCGACAGCGTTGATCGTGAAGTAATTTGGAAACTACTCGAGTACTACGGCGTACCCCAAATATTCATCAACCTTATTCAACAGCTGTACGACAACGGAACATGTCAAGTGATCCAAAACGGAAGACTCAGCGAGGCGTTTGGAGTAAACACAGGAGTCAGACAAGGGTGCTTATTATCACCAATGATATTCCTAATTGTGATGGACTGACTGGATTATGCGTCAGACAGTTGGAAACGAGAAGACAGGGATATCCTGGACCGACGTGAAGAACCTAGAAGATCTGGATTTCGCGCGTGGATGATTTATGTTTGATGTCACACAAAATCGAAGACTTACAAGCGAAAACCGAAAAGCTGGTAGAAGAAGCAGCCGGCGAAGACAGGACTCCAGGTGAACATAGACAAGACGGAGGTTATGAAAATAACCAACCAACCAACAACAACAACAACAGCAGCAGCAGCAACATCCAGCACCAATCACCATCAACGGGAGGGATTTGAAAGAGATTACTTTATTCACTTATCTGGGAGCATTCTCTCAACTACAGCCCATCGGAACGGACGAGGATGTCAAATCGAGCGAGAATCGGGAAGGCGAGAAACACATTCATCAATCTGAAACCAATCTGGAAATCTTCGTCACTCAGCATAAAACAACAAAATTCGGTGGGATTTTCAATACAAAGGTCAGGTTAGTCAGTTCTTCTATACGGAACAGAAACTTGGCGGACGGGCGGGTCACAAAGAATATTTCCAACAGGCTAACTCAGACCTTTATCAACAACTGTCTTCACTGGCTCTATACTGAAGATCAGATGGCCGGGCCGGAAAGAATCACCACCAACAAGAAACTCTGGCTGGGAACAAACAAAACAAGAACCAATCACCAGCCAACAAATATGCAGGAGAAAGTGGAGATGGATTGGACACTCGCTAAGGAGGCCGCTGGGTAATATCACGCGCGCGTTAGGCCATTGCTTGAGTGGAACCCGATAGGGAAGAGGCGAGTGGGACGTCGGTGCAAGGGTGACATGGAGGATATCGCGTGAAGAGGAGTTGAAACAGTATGGACTAACTAACATGGATGGAGGTGAAAAGCACAGCAGAAGACAGAGGCAAGCGGAGACGTGCAGCTGAAGACCTATATTCCACTAGTAACCCAAGGGAACAGTAATAATAATAAATATATACACATATAGAGAGAGAAGACAAGATCAGAAAAGCTGAGCTAGACAGGCATTCACTAATCTGAAATCAGTGTAGAAATCTGCTCTACTCAGAATAAGGAGGACTAGTTTGAAGTTGGTGTTCTGAAGGGGTTCAGAGATTTGGTGCATGAGTCATGAAAACGTCTTCCGATAAGCTATTGCAGTCTGCCATCCACAGATGTCTTCACTGACTCGATATCGAAGAACAGACAGCTGAGCAGTCGAAAAGTATTAGGGACACAGGGCTCTGGCAATAAACCAACCCATTAACATATTGGCCAACTAAATGCCGAAGCAAATGAAGATGTACTTGACACACACTAGACAAGTTATATAGTGGAACCTAATTGGAAAACGACAAGTCAGCCGTCCGAGGATGATTGTGTGTTTGTGTGTTGAGGGAATGAAAGCTTACAGGTGGCCGTGTAGCCAGGAAAGGAAAAGTGTGTTATTGAAGCCGTTAGTTGTACTTTAAATCCAAAGGAATAGTAATAATTGTCATTAAAAATAATTCAAACTCACCAAAATGTTCTAGTAGCCAATGATGTCCTTCTATAAACTGATCAATAATTGAATAATAATTTGTAACTGCTTCATCGGGCATAACCCATCCACCGGATGAAATTTCCCATTGTCCATTGACTAATAACCTGAGTTTAGAAAATAAATTATTAAGCTAAATTTTATATACATATGTATGTTGAAATAAATGATTAAGGTTCATACCTTAGGTGGATGCATTTAACGTTATGCTATGTTATGTACTTCTAAGTGAAACTTTTATTACTGTCTTTCTTGACAATAGCTTCAGAGCTAATCTGTGAATGTGAACCAAATTTTAAAAACTTAAGATGAATAAATATTGTGTCTCTTCTGATGACTTGCATTTTAGATATGTATAACTCTCCATTTCACTTGAACAGAGAAGTGGTTAGTGAAGATGCTGGAACCTTTGCACAAAGAAATTGTACGACATAGAATTAGTGATGTCTTCGGCTTTATTTCTAAAATATCCGAGACTAATGTGATGGATAAACGCATGTTATCCATGCATGTATCATCACTATTCACGAATGTATTCACTTATGGAAACGGTAGATTATATTTGTCAAGAAATCACCGATGGGCAATTGGATTTATGAATTATCTTTTTTTTTTTTTTTGATTTACAGCTTGATTCCACACCGTATTTTTGGTACAAGTATGGAATTTTCAGCATGGATATCGGTAGCCCAAATTTTGCAGGCTGACCATAGATATCAGGTGTGCGCCGGTGTGGGCTCGAACCCCGGACCATGTGCATGGTCGGCGAGAGTCCTAACCACTGTGCCACCGACGCACAGCCTCAAAGAATTACTCCTTTTAAATGCACAATGAATGTTCACTTTGTCTTTAATAGTTCACGCTACCGACAAGTAGATGGAATACCAATGGGTTCACCATTAGGCCCAATATTAGATAACTTCTTCCTCGCAAATCTGTAAAACGGGAAATTGAAAGACTTGTTGGAGTCTGGTCATTCAGCCACCCCCCCCCCAAGTGATTCATCATTCAAGGTTATCTACGTGGCAAAATTGAATCGCTCCAAAAGTTTGCGTTTTCTTCACTTGTACATAGCTAACCGAAGCTTTAGCTATACATGAACAGAAACCTAAATTATGTGTTCAAAAATGTCTTGTCATAGTAATGTTCTTCCTAGTTTTTATTTTATTTTATTTTACTACTTGAATTCACTCCACTTCACTTCACATCTTTATTCTTATCGTAATCGTACTCCTAATTTTTAAAATTTTTAGACAACACTTGACATTAAAAAAAAAAATTTTTTGGTATTAACTCACTTATAAAACAATCATTGAATTTTGTGTGATCCATGCAGTTCAACTCTACCCCTTATAACATTTTAATTATCGTCATTCTTATCACTTATATATGTATATTGACTGAGCAATTATTTAGTGCCACTTAATAACCTTTTTCTGTCATAAAAATACGACTGTACAGTTTGAAAATGAAGTCATTGAAAAAGAAATTTCTTCGCTGAACAAAAAAACTGTGTTTTAACTTCCACTTCGCTTACTTTTACTTGTGAAGTGGATCAGGATAGTTAACTGAATTTTCTGGATGCCGTGCTAAGTAGACATTCGAAATATTAAGCCTAAACTATGCATTCAAAAATGTTCCTACAGCCATTATCCCCTCCCTTACTGGTCTATTAAAACATAACCAACTGATGACTTCTACGACACCCTTTATTTATGTTTTCAGCCTCTGTCTTATCATCCCCTAATCTTATCACGTCTTCATTAAAAACGTATTTCATTTACTTCTCTTACAATCTAGGATTACTTAATCGGTTCATTTGTTTGTCATTGCCTTTATCGACTACTACGTCTGCCTGAGCACATTTTTTTTGTTTAATCATGCTGTTTTTCGTTATTCATGTTATCACAGATTGCTTCACTTTTTCATGCTTATTATTGATAAAACCGTTATTATTATTATTGTCACATTACTATTATTATGACTAGTTGCACAATTTATATGCATAGTTGTTCGAAACGTCATCCAGTAAATAATAGTGTTTTACTGTGTGATACATCTAATAAACAAACTAATATGGTATATGCACTATCTTATTGTCCTATTGACAAAACACTGTGATTGATTTATATTTGAATTTTTATTTGTAAAGTTATGTAGGTATATTAGAGTTAAGCTTGATGAGAACTAACTGAAAGCACAATATAGTTCGCTTAAATGTGTTTTGTTCTAAATTCAAAATTTAACACACAATTGTCTGTACTGTTATGGCTTCAAGTTTAAGAAATGTCATTGAATTTTATCATGCAAATCTCCTATCAGCATGTGGAAATTTTTCAATGAAATTACTGGCAATAGTAAGCGATGTAATGTTTTTCCCTCTTGTGATGTTAATGCTCTTAATCTGTCTTTTATACGCTCTCCTTCTACTATAACCACTTTTAACGTTACTAATCTTGTAGCTGATAACTTCCAGGACTTTAACACTCTTGATGTTTTAAAATGTCTTAAAACTCTTAAGCCCTCACATAGTCTTGGCCCTGATGGCATACCTGCATATGTTCTAAAACAATGTGCAGATGCTTTATGTTCTCCTCTAACTAATATCCTAAATGCTTTTTTCTCCGAAAACGTTGTACCTGTTCCATGGAAAGACATTAAAATAGTCCCTGTCCCTAAACCTGGAAATAGCAAGAACGTAAAGTTCAGACCCATTGCCATCACTTCCCCGTTTCTAAAGCTCATGGAAAAACTAGTACTTCTTAAACTCGAACCCTCCCTTAAAAGCTTCGAAGACCCCAAACAATTTGCCTACAGACAGGGTAGGAGTACTTTAGACGCTGCAGCCGTCTTACACAACAGTATTGTCTCATCATTAGATAAAGGTGCCAAATATGTCCGCTGCACGTTTCTTGACTTCACTTCTGCTTTCGACTCTGTACCTAGATGTCTCTTGCTAAATAAGCTCTCCATGACACAAACCGAGTCCTGGGTCACTAACTGGTTGCATTCCTACTTTTCAAACAGAATGCAGTACACCGTATACAAAGGCAATCCTCCTCTGCTGTGCTCACTGAAGCTGGTGTCCCCCAAGGTGCTGTACTCTCCCCACTTCTCTTTTCATTCTTCCTACATGACCTACCATCTTCAAATGACATTAACTTTGTCAAATATGCTGATGACCTAACTGTATCTTTACCTGTCAAATGTCAAAGTGACTGCTCTAAACTAAATGGCTTCTTATCAGAAATCAGCCAATGGTCCAAGGAAAACGGTCTCACCTTAAACCCCTCCAAATGCCAAACAGTTAATTTCACCCTTAGGCATAAATCTGACCTAAACAAACTGGTTAGAACTCACGAGGTGTGCAACATAGATGGCACTGAAATAGAAACCAAGTCGGAAATTAAATACCTAGGCGTCACTCTATCTTCTGATCTTTCCTGGTCGTCTCATATCTTGACGATTTCCAAGAAAACATTCCGTCTTACCTTCTACATCAAGAAGTTAAGACTTTCTGGTGTAACCCAACCCTTACTCCTACAATTTGTTAACTTCCGTATTCTGCCTATTATTCTCTATTGTTCCCCCTTAGTCTTTCCTGGGCTATTGAAGAAAGACTATACCTTATTACGTAGGATGTTAAAGGTTGTCAGCAGGGTAAGCAGTTTGCCACTTAGCCAGCTTGTTAATATTCTGGTGGACAGGCACATGGACTCATGTGAAAAATGGGCAAAATCCATTTTATCTGACTCACAACACCCTCTACATTCACAACTCTCCCCATGTATCTCTTCAGGGAAAACCAGAAGCCTATATAGGAAACTATATGCCCGCACTAGTAAGTACAAAAACTCATCCATACCCTACCTAGCTCGTGTTCTGTGCGATAAAGAAAGCATTAGGCGTGAAACCTTCTGTGGACTCTACTTCAAACTGTATCTACAAGTTCACCTGCAGCTGCGGTGACACCTATATAGGTAGAACTAACAGAATGTTCCAATGTCGTCGAAAAGAACATGTTCCAAAATGGCTAGTAAATCATATCGAAAATCCTGGCGCGATTAATCTTAGTAGAAATCCAGCATCATCCATTGCAAAACACTTATTAATGTCTGGTCACAAAATTAATATTAATGACTGTTTCACAATTATTTCACATAACTCTAATTCAATGTTATTGAAGGTGATGGAAGCACTTTGGATTAATCACATACAGCCTAAACTGTGTGTACAAAAATCAATAGACTTCAATCTTCGCCTACCCTGGACTGCATGACCTATCTTAATATGATTGGTCATTAGTATGTACTTTGTTTTTATTTAATTGAGTAATTTTCATGAACTTTATTTTATCATTGTTAACCACGTTAGTTGTAAAGCTGTTGTAAAGAAACTACGAAATGATATCATCTCGCGAAATTTGTCTTCTTAATGCCTTATTCAAATTAAACTTATTAAATAGTCAGTAGAACAAATAGATCTCGTCTTTCCAACTCACATCATTTACAGGTACAACGTTTTCTCTCTACCTTTTTTTTCTCTTTCTGTATTTATTTTTGTTATGTGCCGTTTTGTTTCTCTCTTCCTTACAAACTCTACTTAAAACATTCTTGTTCGTTCTTTCACACTCTGTATATCTCGACCATTTTGCTATCGCTTACGCCAGTAAATATGCTAGTAGTATCTACTTTTCTAACACCTTCAAACACTGTTTAAATTTTGGCTTTGCTACCGACATGCTAATATGTTGTTGTCAAAACTGACTGAGATAACTTTAATCTATGTAGAACTTTATTTATTGCTAACGTACTAACTGGATGCAATATTGTAGTAAAAATGCTGAGAATTCCATTCTGTATCACAAGTACTGATTTGGAATAAAGCTATTATCTTATCTTATTGAATGTATTGGCCATTTAAAGACTAGTATTTGGTGAAGAAATCTTAGCATCGATACAAAAGGCTGATATCTCATTTGACCGAATTGTGTCATTTCTAAAGCAGGCTAGACTAGATAGCTCTAACCTACTTTACATTCGTGTGACATGACCAATGAACGTGGAATATATCAAAGTATTAGCGACATACCGTCCCACAATTAGAAGGATATATACGCATGTCTTGCTTTCCAGTGTTCAATTACAATCCATCAAATATAGTTAATAATCAATTATTCTTGTTAAGTGTAAATCAACAGTGTGCTAATGATGATACTGATATGTCAGAACAAATGCTTTCGTCATACTGTGTGTGACGTAGACGTTTTAATAAAATAGAAATTGTAATTCATTATGATAAAGGTTTTCTTGTATTTTCCAGTGAATGAAAAACAAAACGATATTGTTGTCTTCATTGACATTTCACCATTTAATGCTGCTGCCTATAGCTTTACCCAAGCAGTAATATTAAACCAGAATTTACAGAATCCGCTCAGCTTATATATAACAACTTTATCATCGTTCCGCAATATGGGATCATTTTTCGTTGTCAAATTGGCCAATTGGTATAGATAACAAAATCAGGTGTAGATTGTTGGATTTGATAAGCGTGTAAAATTATAAAAGCAGCGTGTGTTTGCATAGTGAAATTGCTAAGCGCATTCGTGTTGATTTTGTTATTTCATGGAAGAGGGAGGTGTTGTAACCAGGTCTGTCTTAGTCCATTATTCATATTCAGACAATTTGGATTCCATTTGATATAAAGTGCTTCTGATGAAATGAGACGTGATTTCTGAAATGCTTTTTCCGGATTATTTCAGTATCGTCAAAAATCAATTTTGTGGCCTGATTCTATAGCGTGTAGACCAGTTATGGCTGGTTGATGATTTATCAAGATTTTCTACTTCAACTGGATTTCTCAGTGGTCGGACAGATGCTCTACTGTGTTTATTAATTCTGATTTTGAATTCTGGAGATATAGGTCTGATGCATATCGCATCATATTCCAAGCATTTTATTTTATGGACACAATTAGAGAGAGAATCTTTTGGGATTTGGTCTTTTATATGCGCCAGGTTGTTTCGCAGTGTGTCTGGTGTTTTGAAGAAAACTCTGATGTCGAGCTTATTTAGTACTCTTAGGAAGTGGCAAAATCCAAACGAATGTGATGGGTGATTTCATCATGTAAACACACGCTGCATTTATAATTTTACACACTTATCAAATCCAACAATCTACAACTCGTTTTGTTATCCCTACCAATTGGCCAATTTGACGATGTAAAAATGACCCCATACCGAGGAACGATGATGATTAAGTTGTTATATATAATGAGCTGAGTGGATTTTGTAAATTCTGGTTTATTAATAATACTTTGATAAAGCTATTAGCAGCAGCATTCGATAGCAGAACGTCAGTAAAAACAACAATATCGTTTTGTTTTTCATTCGTTCATTGGGAAATACAAGAAAACCTTTATTATGCTGAACATCATATACCCAATACGCAAATTTTTTCAAACTGTTAAAAGTGAACTTGGTTTGGACACATATAATAGAAATTATAGTTTTCAAAAAGCGATGCGTGTATGCAGACAAGCCGGATTCAGGAAAAACAAATCATGTGAAGATGATATCGCAACTCTATGCATCATCATTGAGGAGAGAATAGAATAGCGATGAAATCTCTAACTCAACTTTATCTACTATGAATAATCTTGAACAGCATTGACCGTGAAGTACGTTAAGAGACTACTTCAACACAATGGCATACTCCAAATCTTTATTAATCCCATTCAACACCTTTATCTATAGCGGAACACGGCTACATGTATAAGTGACAGCACCACTACTCATTACGGAGTAAGAACATGCCGGTTGACGAGTCTAATCCTGGCAGGTGCTAACCCAGCAGCGATTGCACAACAATTATATAACTTCATACATTTATTCCCCTTAATAAATTTGAACAAAGAAAGAACTATAGTTTTAGCAGAATAAAATGGTACCATCTTTTATTTCGTTGCCTTCTCATCAGCTGCTTACATGACAAAAACATTATTAAATATATCTACTACAACAATTTTTGATCGATTGATTTTTGTTTAAAATGAACTCTGTACAAGTATGTCAAAATTGTTGTTGTAGATGTATTTAATAATGTCTTTGCCACGTAAGCAGCTGACGAGAAGGCAACGAAATAAAAGATGATACCATTTTATTCTGCTAAAACTGTAGTTCTTGCTTTGTGTTCAAAATTATGTAACTCAAAAGAAATATTGTAAACAAAATTTTCCATTATTATTGACTGTATATGAACCAATCTGAGCAGCGAATCAGATTCAAATTATGTTTACTATCGGTGGTTTTGTGTGTTTGTATTTTTTAACTACACAACCGCTTGCATTTCTATGCAGAGTCGGTAGTCAGCCAAACCTGTTTTTTAAAAGTTGATAATCCCCTGTCTGGCAACAGAAATTTCAAAAGATACAGACGGACTTGAACCTCTGGCTCAATGTGGTTGAAAGTTGAATGTCTAGGTGATTTACCATTCTGTAAACTAGAGTTACACTGCTAACCAGTAGGGGAGGAGGGCTTAGAAAAAAAGTTGACTTCAAAATTCTCACATCACAACTTGTTCCGCAGTGGCTCACAGACAATAGTAAGCTCATTTGCACGGATACCACTCTAACTTAAGCCAGTGAGCCACAGTGGCGCACAGCAGTTCACACTGCGTATAATGATGGATTAGTGGAACATGCTTCTTCAATATTTTCATATGGAAAAAACTAAATGTGGTTTGCTAAGAATGAAACTTATTATTATTCCCTTAGGTTCCACGTCAAGCATACGCTTTCAGTAGCCCATTTCCACTTTGATCAGTTTTCTGCAGTCCATTTTAGCTGGCTCAACAATAATCCATATAATTTTGTTTCCCACTCACACGATCTCCTCCATGTCGTTAACCTCGGACACAAACTCAACTCGTTGTTTTCTGTTCGGACTACAGTCGAAAGCCTCCTGGGCGTATGTCCTATTCATCCCCATTTCATTCGGCATACTTGCTGGTCAATAAGGTTGTTGGTTAGTTCGCCGCTGGAGTTCTTATATGCTAATCCTTTCCGACTGGTCAGTCATATATAGTCTCCAAAGCCTCAGGATGGTCGGGGGTGGGTGTCTTGCGCTGCGGGTTGGCCACCCCTCTGTACACCTCTTGAAATGCTCCCATATGACCGTGCGTCTTACATAGCCTCTCCTCAGAAAGTCCTACTCACTGCCCTCGCGTGGCGGAGGTGTTTATTTCACCGAAGTCAGAGGGCAAAAGCGGATGCCCGGCGCTCTTCACCGGGTTGACTGTCCACTGGATGACAGTCTAGGGGAGATGGCTAAACCCTGATTCCAAACTTCCAACGACTGGCGTATTAAGCTCACCGGCAGACGTATGGACAAAGGGCTTATTGGATGCCCTGGATGTCTGGCCCGCCCTATTCAAAAAGGCGTATGAACCGGACTCCGGTCACCGGCTGCCAATGGATAGTGGACTCCCTACTCCACTCCTACTGCCTTGTAGGTCACACTTGGTTGTGTAAAGGCTAGAGCTGCACTCTCAAACAAAAGGCCGAGCGATTCTGGGGACATCACTCGTACCCAATTCCCATGAAACTTCATCAACTCTCTTACAAACATTCGAGATGTTCATGAAGCCGGTTCATCCTCCCGTAGGAGATAGCCGAAGCAAAGTAAGTAAGTAAGTATATAACCTTCAGTATTTATCAAACGGAGGTACCTGTTGATGGAAGTCTGAGACAGGCTTTTGGGAATGTTTCTAGTGACACGTCATGTCCTTGAACCATGTAGAAGAAGCGACTTTAAAATAGTACAGACACTGCAATTTTTTTCCTCAAGCTGAGTGTAACAGACTTCCACAATGATTTCGGAATAATAAGGATCCAATCCTGGCTGGCTTTGATGTCCTCCTCCGTGCTGCTTCTTTTAGTTGCAACGATGATGATGATGATGCGTAGATGAGTAAGAAAAAAGGTGACTTTCTTTAGAAACCTCATCTAGTTCACAGTGGGCACAGTCCCTATGCCCACAGAAAGATGGAAGGTTAGACATGTGGCTTATCCCCACCCCATCTCCCACACACACCCTACAAAAAAAACAATAACCAACCAATTCAATCACTCACTACAGAAGCTTCAAAGTACAAAAGATTAAGAATAATGCAAATTAAGGTGAAGGAATTTACCTTTGAAATTTTTGCTTTTGTTCTTCTGATAAGGTAGCTAACCATAAATTTAAAAAGGATATCTCTGAGTATACAAATCTTGCCTCTTTATGCTCACTTAATATGTCTAGTGTAGCATCAAGATTTGGTTTTGTTTCAGTGTAAAAATAGTTTTCAAGTGTTTTACGCCATCCTAAAGAGAATAAAGAGGGATGGAAGAAAAGATATATATATATATATATGATAGTATATGCTAACAATTTAGTCATTATTATTAAATAAGGAAAGAATTCAAACTCCCTTAAAGGAATTGGTAAAAATTATATTCGTTAAATTTCAGCGAAATTGAAATGATTAATTTCAACGTTTCGTTCAGCAAACTGGTCCAAACTTCTTCAGGGAAATTAATCAAAATTAACATAACATATCTGTCTATAAAATATGTTTAGGGCATATCCTAAAGTGTGTAGAAGCCCTAGCAGTTGGAGAGGACATCTTTTGTTTTTAGAACTTTCTCCAATCATATGAGTCAGGAAAACAGTCACCAAAATATAATAAAAACAAACAAAATTGTATGAGTGATATAAGTATTAAAAACTTGGGCACTGTGGTAGAGCATAACTCCATTATGGATAAGATTTTATTTTGATAAATCACACAGTGTTGTACACTAATATTAACATTGGTTAATATTTAATTGGTGGATGGTGACTAGCAGTGGAACCCAGGATGCACATTTCGTCCGAGTTTGGACTCGCCATCTGGATGTACCTGCATTTCTCAGTGAGTGATGATGTTCCCACCGAGGCTCGAACCCAGTGTCCATAGTTTCAAACGCCAAAGCGTTATCCACTAGACCACTTGAGCCACCTCTTGTGCAACGGGTCATAATTATTTCATTGAATTTTTGATTTTCCCGTCGATTGATTGGACCGAAGTACTCGGTCTCAGGTTGACACGTCGGCCTCTTGTGCAGATGATTCGACGATATTTGGGCATTTAGTTAGTATTTAATTGGTGGATGGTGATTGGCAGTGGAATCCAGGATGCGCATTTCATCCTATCAATTAATATTACTGTACAACACTGTGTGACTTATCAAAATAAAATCTTACCCATAATGGAGAAAATTGTATGAGCCGTGATCAAAATTTGACCTCAGACTTACAAATATTGGTGTACTTTTGTTAAACACTTTAAGCAGAGTGTATTTTTGCATCAGAATTTTAGTGAGTACCTTCGACTAAAAGTTCATGGTCGTAGATAAGTGAATATGAAAATATATGTGTATATTCAGTATACAATGACGTGTGTATGGGTAAACAGGTGTAAAACATTTTATTATTTTATTATTGTTAAACATGTTAGTTGTAAAGCTGTTGTAAAGAAACTACGAAATGATATCATCTCGCAAAATTTGTCTTCTTAATGCCTTATTCAAATGTAAAACATTTGTTAGCCTCTCCATAACAAGAAATAGACAATGGGGAATTTAGACCAAGTATGATTAATTGTAGATACATATCCATTTTTATTTTTATTTATCAGTCGTGACTTGCCATACATCAGCTATCATCACACCACGTCTGTTCAAACTGTTTGGATTCACCCATATATGCAAAGCTTCTGCCAGTCGGTCTTTCTTTATACGAACCAAAACCTTTCTGTAGAACCTTACCTAGTCTCCTATCGAAATCGATTTCGTATCCCCTTTCTATCGAGTACAATGCAATCGCTGATCGGTTTTCTAGCTTCTTTAAGTCTGAAGAGGACTTTGGAATCACTTTAAGCTATTGTTTATGCTCTTTCACTCTTATATTTACATGTCTGGAAGTTTCTTCTACATATATAGCGTTACTATTCCCACAATTGTTCTAGCACATACACTTCTGTTGGTTTTCTTCTTCTATTTTATCTTTAACCTTCAACAGTGATGAGGGTAAGGTGTGAGTTGCACGAAAATACACTCTTATGTCATGATTGTTAAGGATTTGCTTTATCTCATCGGATGTTTCACCGCTGTACTAACCCAATTCTTAGCAACAGGTTTCGATCCACCCTTATCTTAACATTTTAAATATATTTTTAAGAATGTTTTAAGATAATTATTTGATTCAAGAGTGGATTGAACCAATTTTAGTTCCCCGCTGATCCCTTCTTTCTCAGTAACTAGATGTTTGGCTCTGTTAATCAGATTCTTCGCCACAGTTACTTTAGTGGTAAAGGGATGTGTTGAATATTAGTCTAAGTATCTGTCCGAATTTGTCGGCTTTCAGGGAATGTTTATTTTAAATTTACCATCTGGTTTTCTTTATACTAAACAATCCAGGAATGCTAAAGCATTCTCGTCGGATTCAACCTCTTTGGAAAACTTGATGGTTTCTGACATATTTATTGTTCATTAAATGAAAAAGTATGCAAAATGTCGGGTTAGTGACAAATGGGATCTAGAAAAAAAATATATGATCATCAGCTCACCTTCCCTCACACTAACTTGTTTCAAACAAATTTCACATCGCTGAACCATGTTCATCAGCCGATCAACCGAAGTTTTTATGCTCATGATACCTCTCTACAAGGAAGAAATTCTTTCCTTTCCAATCAATAACACATTTAACCAATACTGGAAAACATGGTCTACATCAGAATTCACATATAACTCTATTAGAGCGGAATAAAAGCTTGAAATCACATGAACAAACTCATTGGTCCATTTAAAGCCATTGGTGCAGCAGTCATACTCCGTTGGTAGTTACACATGCTTCAAGTTTAACTTGGCTCTTTTTATCAAGGAATTTTGTTCTGTTGACAACTTTTAAAATGAAATGAGCCAAACTGAACTGATGTTATTTTGGCTGACAGTAATGACCAGTAGTGAAGTGAACGGATGTGCATTTCTTCGCTTTTTGGAACTTGTCAGCCAGATGTACCTGAATAAGCAAGTTATCATATGAGTGATGATATTATCACTTAGCCTCAACCTCAGCCAGTACAACCCCACTGCTTTAAACGCCAAAACATTATCTATTAGGTTATTAGGATCACGATATCGAGGCATCCATACCAGGAGCCGATGAGCAGAGCAACAAAGACAGAGAATTTCGGTCTTAATATTCTCAACGTAGAACCTTGCACTACAGAGCAACACTTCATGAAAAGTGGGGAAAAGTATGCACAGAAGTGTTCACTGAAAATAATCACAGCAGTTAAAAAGTCTAGCTGATTACATGGATCAATTACATCTGCCCTAATGACAACGATTTACAGCCACATCACAAACACTCTCGTGTCATTCATTTGTAGTGTCTTGAGGACCCCAGAAAGACAATCTACTAGACTTAAACCAACAGTCAGGAGTCTTCAGAGTCTGAATTGATGTCATGTTTGGTTCAGCCAGCAATAACTATTCTCTAACACAATTTTATGTCAGGTGATATAGTTTGACAAGGAATGGGAAGCCGGGGTTAATCACAAAAATGTATCTCCATCGAATTAATAGTGAACACGTGCAATCGGAATTACACAACAAGGTTGCAGGATTATTGTTATATGATTTGAAGGCAATCGGTAGGAAAGCCTGCACGACGAAAGTTTTGTGTTTGTTGGCTTTCCTTCTCATAGGAAGGCTTAAGACAACACTGATGTTCCCACTGAGTTATTCACAATCCGAAATGCACACAAAACCTCTCTAATCCTCACTTATCTTTGTCTTCATCTTCATCTCTATCATCTTGCCTTCCTCCCACTGATGCAACTCCTCGACTTGATAGCTCTCCACTTCCTCTTCACTCTGCGTCCACTAAAAACGATGGAAGCCAAAAAACCACCACCGACAGCCTCTTAAAGCCGCGCCACCAATTTCATATAGGAGCTCTTAATGTTAGGACACTTTGCCAAATAGGACAACAAGCATCACTAGCCAAGACCCTGGCATCACGAGCCATTGATGTATGCTGTGTTTCAGAAACACGCATACAAGACCCAAGTGTGGTTATTCACCTAACCCCACCTGGCCAACAGGTTGAATCTGCAAAATTCACCCTGAGGGTGTCAGGAGATGCCACAGCTAGTTCACGAGGATTAGCTGGCGTAGGGATAGCTTTGAGTACTAGGGCAGAAAAGACATTGCTTGACTGGATCCCGGTAGATAGCCGAATGTGTGCTGTCCGCCTGAACGGATCAGTAAGAAGGAGGAAGGACTGCACTACTCGCCGATGCCTTTTCGTAATCTCCGCCTACGCCCCCACTGACTGCAGTTCAGATGAAACGAAGGATGAGTTCTACCAAAAGCTGTCTAGTTTGGTGGAAAGGCTAAACGCTCAGACATAGTCGTTCTAGCTGGTGACTTTAACGCTCAAGTAGGGAAATTGTGTCAATCTGAGAAGGATGTCGGTGGCACCTATGGAGCTCCGTGCCAGCGAACCGACAACGGTGACCGTCTCCTACAGTTCTGCTCTGATAATCATTTGTTTCTTGTAAGCACTAACTTTAAACACAAGGAGAGACACTGTTTGACTTGGAGACCCCCTTCATCAAACCAACGCTGGACACAAATAGACCACATAGCAATAAGCTATCGTTGGCGTGGGTCGGTAGGAGATTGTCGCTCCTTCTGGAACACGTGCGTAGATACCGACCATGCACTGGTCCGCGCTCGGGTGTGCTTACGACTGAACGGACGTAGGAAACAGCTGGCGGTAAAACCATCACGTCCCCAGCTCGATCAGGAAACTAAATCCGTATTTCAGGAAGAACTAGCTAAACACATATCTGTGTTCGACAGCTGTGCTCACCCTGAAGAAGCTTGGAAAAATATCCAGGCAGCCATAGATACAGCTGTAAAAGCTGTGAATAAGGTAAACCCAAAGGTGAGTAAAAACCACTGGATCTCCACCGCCTCATCCGAACTGATAGATGCTAGAAGACTTATTCCGGCGAGCTCCGAATTCAATGAGGAGCGAAAGCTGCACAAGAGGAAACTTACGAAAAGTCTCCGCAAGGACCGTGAACAGTGGTGGGCGACAAAAGCCAAAGAGATGGAGAAAGCTTTGAGGATAGGCAACACCAGGCAACTCTTTGGACTCATCAGGGAAACGGGTGGGAGAAGACAAATCATCAGTGAGACAATCTCGGAAAAAAATGGCACTATAATTAGCTCACAGGATAGACGACTGGATCGTTGGAAAGAGCATTATGAGGAGCAGTTTAATTTGCCCACAGCCACGCTCAACCTTCCGAGCATCCAACACCTCCCTGAATGGGATATAGATACAGGTCCTCCGTCACTAACTGAGGTTACTAAAGCTGTCACCAATCTGAAACTAGGCAAAGCAGCGGGACCTGATGGAATGACGCCAGAGGTATTTAAGTACGGTGGAGACAGCTTACTGTCCGGATTAACTGAGGTACTAGGCAGCGTCTGGGAATCAGAAGAAGTCCCATCGGGTTGGTGTAAGTCACTGATTATCCCCATATACAAGAAGGGAGACAAGTCTTCCTGTGATAATCACAGAGGGATTAGCTTGACTAATATAGTATCTAAAGTCTTAGGCTCAATAATCATGCGTAGACTGAGTGGTGCTCGGGAAGCACAAACACGAGAGAGCCAGGCAGGCTTTAGACCAGGAAGAGGGTGTATTGATCATATCTTCACCCTCCGACAGATTCTAGAACATAGGCATTCCTACCGGCGTCCAACAGTCATTATATTTCTTGACCTAAAGGCAGCATTCGACTCTGTCGATCGGGAAGTTCTCTGGAGATGCTTGGCTGTAAAGGGAATTCCAAGAAAATATATTGCACTGATTAAGGCACTCTACTCGTACTCATACAGCCAGGTGAGGGCTTACGGCGAGCTGTCATCTGAACTGATGACGACCAGTGGTGTCCGTCAAGGATGCCCATTATCTCCTTTTCTATTCAACTTCATCATAGATGTGTTAATGGACTTAACCCTAGGTGACTTCAGCGACTCAGGGATTGACTTGCTACCGGGGAATAATCTCGTTGACTTGGAATATGCAGACGATATAGTCCTTCTAGGCGAAGACGCTGACGAAATGCAGAGTCTTCTAAACACCTTGAGCCGCAATCTACGAATGTTTGGCATGCGATTCGCTCCCGCCAAATGCAAGATGATGTTACAGGACTGGACTACATCGACGCCTAGTTTAAAAATAGGAAGTGAAGTGGTAGAGCACGTTGACCGCTTCACTTATTTGGGAAGTACCATCAGCCCCAACGGGCTGATCTCTGACGAAATCTCAGCACGAATACAAGGGGCTCGTTTCGCATTTGTTAGTTTACGCCGACTCTGGCGTAGACGAGATGTTCGACTATCGACCAAAGGGCGGGTGTACTGCTCATCAGTCCGCTCCGTCCTCCTTTATGGTTGTGAGACCTGGCCACTGAGAGTGGAAGACATGAAAAGACTAGCTGTCTTTGATCATAGGTGCCTGCGTTCTATTTCCCGTGTAAAGTGGCATAATAAGGTGAGCAACATGGAGGTTAGGCGTAGAGTTCTAGGTAAACAGGGGAAATCAATCGACGAAGTCGTGAAGCTACAAAGACTGAGATGGTTAGGACATGTGTTACGTATGCCAAGTCATCGCCTCCCTCGACGAGCAATGTTAGCGGATATAGGGTCAGGCTGGAAAAAAGCTAGCGGCGGTCAAACAAAAACTTGGCATCAGTCAATGAAATCCACAACAGTTGGTCTAAGCCACGTAGAAAGGTGTAGACTTCCAGGCTGGGGTCCTCGGGACGGTAAAAATCTATGGTTGGAAACAATTGGTGACATGGCTCAAAATCGTTCTCAGTGGCGCAGATGCATCCACTCCCTGTGACTTATGATCTTCAATGAAACTGTTTTGTATTTCTTTATTACTCCTTTGTCTCACACCTCTGCTCACTGTTTCTATTATGCTTTTCTTGTACTTTCTTCTCTTGCTTCGCGTGCTACACGGAATGTGGCGACTTGAACTTCCGCACATTTGTGCAAAGTTCTATGTCGAAAACAGACAGACAGACAGACTGAGTTATTCGGGCTCATGATTGACCTCCTGTGGGACTGTGGTGGATATCTTGATTGGACACTAGCAAGTAACTAATATCATACGTCCAAGTTTCTGTTTCAGTGGCTTGCTAGTGACTGCTAACGAGTAGGAAACCTAGGCTTTAGGCTACCTGTTGATTGCCTATAACCGTCTAGAAAAATTTAAAGTGCACCATGATGATCACATTGCAAACTTGACTGACTGAAATAAGGACTAAATATGAATGAAATTAGTAGTTGCTACCCAATGTTCAATCATCAAAATCCCGGAATTGAGGCAAATTGAATCGGTGAACAGTAGGGAGTAAAAAACAAACCGACATAAAACGAATTCCGGAAATTGTGTAAATATTTCTTTTTCCTTCACGTTCCCAGTGGGACATAGGGCCTCAAGCTAGTGGCTTGAAGTTTCTGTAGCAGTGTTTAATTTTTACAGGATGGGGTTTTGCTAGCCTCATGGCCAACCTTTTCCTCTTTACCAGGATTATTTCTGGCTTAGCAAAGTAAAAGAGTGCGTCGGTGGCCGGGGATCAAACCTCGGACCAAGTGCATGGTCGGCGAGCGTCCTAACCTCTGTGCTACAATAAAGTATGCCGTAAACGTTATCCCCTTCATTAGATGTTGTATCATTGTGTGTCACATCAAACAAATTTATCTAGTATGGAAAAATGAATGGTAAATATTATTCATGTGATGGCTATGGATAACGACTTGACATTTGAAACGATCGGAATGCAATCGGAATGGAAGGTGGATCGTCACTAGTGGGAATTCCCAAAAGAGGTAAATACAGGACAGAACTCAGGGACGTGGATTTCATAGACAGGCACCGTTGAACATCCAGTGATTGTAATTTAAATATGGGGTAATTTAGTTTATTATTATTATTACTGCTAATAATAATAATGAACGAAAAAGCGAATTTATTCTTTTTATTCCAATCATGCTTACCTGGATCTTGGTGTGAGAATGGTACAATGAATACTTCTAATGGTCTATCCTTCCAATGATCCATATTGTAAGAAATCGGAAATCCTTGAGTCCAAGCACCGCCAGGTTTATTATCAAAAGCTAATTGATTATAAACTTCACCCATCTATAAATAAATAAAGTAAAATAAAATAGAATAGTTAGATTGTATGAGACAGTGTCTTGAGAGGTTGGCAGGCCTCTTATTTATCTAGTGTGAGTGATAATTGAAGGTGAAATAAAAATCTGAACTTGGACTGGATTCGAACTAGCGGGAACTGAATGATTAGTCCAGCGATCTACCAAATGAACAAAGCGATCCAACTGCCAATTTTCTGTCCCATAGATAAGCTGGCAGGCCAGCCAATGGGCTAGTAGTTCAGAGATCGCTGGTTTGAATCTTGATGTGATTGAGAATTTCATTTTACCTCCAAGCCTCACGAATTAAATGAAGACTCGAACCTATGAACTATCGAGTGAAAACCAAGTGGTTCAGTCAGTGAACTACATCTCTACATTGAACTCACTTGTGTGGAACAGATTATTCATGTACCAAGCTACAAGTCAGACACACATTAAATGACAGATAATGACACTAGTCAGTTTAACCAGGCTGGAGTAGATGGAGCGGATTTTGAAGCTGGGTCGCTCTGGCTAAACTTCCAGGTGCTTAAACCACATATACGAAATAACGGAAGAGGGGAATGTTGTCATATAATAAGGTTTTCAGTTGTATCATCACTACTGTTTATTAATCTTAAAAACGCATAAATTTTCTTCAAAAAGATATGTCACTTTCAAATAAATTACCATATGCAGTGATACTATTTCTTAGGCAATGGAGAAAAAGTCCTTCATTGCTACAGAAATTATTACAACAAACATAAAGTTAGAATGTCATTCAATTGATCGTGGCAAGCAGTAGAATCCAAGAAGCGCGGATTTCATCCAACTTAGCATTCATCATCTGAACCTATCTGAATTTGCAGTTAGTGATAATGCTTTCACTCTCACTCGAAACCAGTCAGTATTCATCGTTTCAAACGCTAAAACGGCACCCACTAAACCACTACTAGTCACGATTAACTAAATAACACCACATTACTCATCAAACATCATCGAAGCATCCATTACAGCAGCTGACTTGTCAAATAAAGACCAAGGCATTTCAGTACAATAAAATCAATTGGCGGGGGATACAAAAATAACTTGAAGAAAAGCCATAATAATAATAATCATAATAACCCCCACCTGAACTGTTGTATTACACACAGTCAACTTGTCATATCTTTGACAAGTTGGAGCTTGAAATGTTTCTAATTTCGCTTGTTCCCCCCTCGTACTAACAACATTATCCCTGATGTCATTATCATTATTGTTCAGTGTTAATTTCGACTTCATGGCCTGTTCGTTTCTCACCAACGATGGATCAGGTTTCATATTCTCCACTGGTCTGTTTATTGAAGAAGAACAAGAAAAATAATAATTCCAAGAATAAAAAGCGACATGAATATAAAACAAAACACGGATATATTACACAATGACTTTATCTAGGATTTAGTATAACTGATAAAGGAAGTTGTACGGACACATCAATGTTATTCCTAAGTGAACTGATACTCGTAAAGTGAGTTTTGTAGATTAAATGTGTTAGCCAGGTGAGTTTAAGCGATTAAACACAGTCGAGTCTCTGAAATATCACATCCATATCTCGAGATATCAGATTTCTAGCTAGTGAAGCCTGTTGTCCGATGTGGCGTACAGGCTGTACGTTGAAAACTCCCAAATGAAATTGGCAGAGCAACATTGGGAGACTAGAAGCTATAAGTTTTTCTTTCGGAGTCACTGTGGCTTTTTTCTGACTTAGCAGCACTAACCAAATGCACATAAGTTGTTACAACCACTATAACATACATGAAGGTAGAGAATTAGAGACAAGTCCAAAGAAACTGTAATAAACGGAAATATACGGGAAACAGAGAGAGAGGGTGGGGGAATCACTTACACGAAGAAACATGAGGACTCAATCTATCTGGAAGATAGCAAAGAGTGATGAATCTCCACTGGTGAGAATCATTTTGCGGCATACCACTAAGAAACTTCAACCATTGGTTCTTAGTGTCGTATGGATTCCAAAAAGGCACACTATACCTAACTACATGGCTGGCTAAAACCAACAGTCGGACTTCATCGCTTTCCAACCTGATCTAATGTCAGGTGACATGACTTGACGAGGAAGCCGGTGACTTCGCATGCGTAACACGTGTCCTAAACATCTCGATAGATGTAGCTTCACAACACAAGCGATTGATTTCTCTCTCCCTACCTAATACTACACCTAACCCCAATCATTACTCAACATATCATACCTCACTTAAACACAAGAGACAGAACGCAAGCACCTATGGTCAAGAACAACTAACCTCGTCATGCCTTCCACGTCTGATAGAGTGAAATATTGCGCAGTACCTACATCGTCTGTTTGATAGCTTGATATCACCTCCACACCAGCAATGATGTAAGCTGACAAATGTCACAGGAGCCATTTCATATCTGTCAACAATCAGTCAACTAAGACTGATCTAACTTTCCTCACTAAGTGAAGCTGTTAAACACACTCGAACACTTCACTGTCTCTAATTTAAGCCAGGATTCAGTGCAGAACAGTCAGTCCTGCAGCATTAATCTTACATATAATACCGAAGGAGCAAATCGTATCGATTAATGTATTATCTCTTTTTTTTTTTTAACTAACACTTTACACGCGACGAACTTCATTATTACTGACATTAGTATCATCACTAAGATGTTTGTTTACATTGTAACATGTATGATGTTTAAGTACTACATAATAACGAGCAGTAGAGTAGAATTCATATTTTAATTTTCTAAATGACACATTTTGAAGACTATCTTTATGTGATGAGTAGAAGCAAAATAAAAACATAAAGAAAAACAGAATTAATATTTGATTCTCATTAACACCACTGGTCAATCAAACAGACAGACAGACAGATGGATGGATGAATGAATGAATGAATGGATAGATGGGTGGATGAGTTACAGCAGACGTCAAGTATCTACTTGGTAAACATGTAAAACACCATCAAAACTATAGTTAAACAGACAATAAAAACAACAACATACTATTTCAGAAACCAAGACACAAATATAAGAAGGCTTAAGTTCAAGCAGAAGAAGAAGAGAAAATGAAAGAAAATATCAAGAAAAGTAAAACAAACAAACGGACAAACAAAGAGACATACCTTTAAGGTTTAGCTAGGACATCGCACAATCTACTGATTCTTTGACAATTTAATCTTACTCTCAATCAGTGCTTCCGAAAGGGGATGAGTGTCAGAGTAATCGAACACACACAGAGCGAAACCTGTTTCTTTTTTTGTTTAAACTTGGTTACCCCAGAATAGATCCTTCATCTACCAGGCTGCTATGAGACAGATAGAATTATTATGATTATTGTTTCAAGCCTCATGATCTCATTCAGTTGCAAAGGCTGAAATAGTTCGAGCGGTATTGGAATCCTAGTCAGATCTAATGGCTGTAAGTTGACAGCATAAGCCAATATGTAAAGTAGCAGGGGAGTACGGGGATGATATTATCCTCCAAGGTGAAGACTGATAAAATCCAGAGTCTTCTGAACACCTTGAGCAGATATCTTCATATGTTTGGTGGGTAGTTCACTCCTATCAAATGTAAGATAGAAGAAGAACTGAACCGCACCAACTCATAGCTTAAGGATAGGGAATGAAGTGGTAGAGTATGCTAACTACTTCACTTGTCTAGAAAGTTGCATCAACCCTAACGGAATGCTCGCTAAAGAAATCTCAACACGGATACAAAAGACCCATGTCATTTCTCACGTAAACGTAAACACTGAGCAGCAGTTAGCTCTGTCATCCTTCATGGCTCGTAGACATGGACATTGGAAGTGGAAGATATGAAAAGGTTAGCTGTCTTTGACTATAGATGACTGTGTTCTGTCTCCTCAGTCAGATGCTTTATTACGGTGAGTGATATTGATGTTAAGCGTAGAGTGTTAGTTAAGGAGGAGAATTCAATCATCCAGGTTGTGAGGTTACATCAACTGAGATGGCTAGGACACTTGTAGAACATGCTACGCCATTCCCTTCTTCGATAGACAATGTTAGCTGACATAAAATCAGGTCGGAAAACAGTTATGGATGATCACATCACAACTTGCCATCAATTCATGAAGTCTATGACTGCTGTTTTGAGCCACTTAGGGAGATGTAGGCTGCCTGAAATAAAATAGATTCTGACACTGGTGACAGTCATCAGTTATTGCAAGCATATATGTTGACATTCTGACAAAACGACTCTTCACTCAAATATAAAACAAACAATAGATGACGTGACCATAGATAGTCTGGTTTCCATTTTACGGCGCATGGCTCGATCACAGATAACTTATTTTATACTTCATATAACGGCTTATATGCATTTCTGAATTAATACAGAAATACTAACCATTTCTTCACACGTCATGTACAAGTGAACAGACAGTAGTCCGTTGTTGCTTGTTTAGTGATGGTTTACAGTGAAAGCCATGATGTCCATCTTGTCTTATTTAGGATTAGTCAAATGGATGTACCAGCAACTCCTGTGAATGACGGTGTTCACAAGGAGACTGGAACTTATCAGTAACCACTTCAAACGCTACAGATATTTCCGCTAAGCGGCTCAGTCATGAGGGAAAAGGTTATCATCTGAAATTATTCATCCTAAATTGCAATCTCTCGTTGACAGTACCAAGATATCCGTCCAAAGACTTCACATGACTAAATTACCTTTCACGGAGAGGTATGAATTCAATTTATCATACTGAGTAAAGAGACACCAAAGATGAAAGTAGGAGATATGAAATAATACTGTTGCAGTACACAAACCTTCGGAAGAAATGTCTGAAGTCAGTTGCCATGATCAGATTTTCAATGTATCAGGCTATGAGCCACACTTTATGTGCAAGGACTGGTGATACTACCTGGTTGTGCAGGCTGAAGTATGTGGAGCATAACTTCAACCCTGAACTGATTGGCTGTAATTCGACAGCCTAGGCCGATAGGACACACTTCGACAGCAACAATAATACTGGCTGGAGATCGTGCTAAATACATATTACGAATTGGCAGAAGTTGGAATTCATGGACCATTGAGTCGGATCCCCGTAGATGAAACGAAGATCCTGGGTTCAAACCCTTGTGGTGGGTGCGTGCTGGTGAAGATTCCCAAACTAGGCCGAAATAATTGACTAATGCTTTCCGGTTCACAATGGTCTCCTTACTGGTGCCGACCGTGATCTAATTTGTAATTTGTACCGATTAATTAAAAGATTTCGTAAAAGTAATATTAGTACACGGATAGATTTAATAACTTTTGAAAATACACTTTGCTAAACATACTAAGTGGATAGCCAGAAGTGTTTTCCCCCATTCCTTCGCTTCTGACTGGAATATAGGGCTTTAGTCGAGCTTTGATTTTTCGGTAGCGGTGGTGTTTTTCTTCTCACGGGATGAGGTCACTAGCCTCAAACCCAACCTGCCTTTCTTCCAGGCTTACTATGGGCTAATAAACTAGGTGAGATTTTGAAGTGTGTCAACTAGATATCCAAACTGGATGACGTGAGTGGTTGCCAAGCATTCTACCACCGACACCAGAACTATCTGATGAACAGAGAGTAACAGAAGACAAGATTTATTTCATTGGTGAAAAAGGGATGAAAGTGGGACCTGAAGTAATTATGACTACTAGTGTAACACTCAGAAACATGATTGTAACCTCTGTATTGGGACGATTGTAACACTGTTTGATAAACGCATTTCTAAATTGTTTTACATCACTTATCTAACTTTGTATGCTATATGTAGTGCAGCAACTTGGACTGCTGCACTCCTGTGCAAAGTTCCATGTAAAAAACTCACATATTAAGCGAACACTATCCATCTGCACTGTTTGTGCAGATATTCCTTTTAGTAACCAGGGAAGAAGGCAACAACAACAACAAAAGCAACGAAAAGAAAGTTTTCTAAGGATGGCAAATAATCAACTAACCGTTTCTTAAGAATTGACGGATCTGTAAGCCAATGCATCGACAGTGGATTCTGTGGTATTTCACGAAAATCTTTGACTATACGCTGTAGATGGACTAAATTCTTTTCCCTTGGTTCAGCGTAATACTGCATTACAACATAAAGTGCCACAACGGTACATATCATTATAAGGCATAAACGCCGTACAAGCCTCAGCTTCATGGTTATAAACGTGCTGATAAACAAAAGGAAATAGATAGACAATCAACAGTTTACAGTATACCTTCATGTAACAATAAATACTAAAGCATGTAAATAAAAGCGAAGAACTTATGGCTCAGTTTCATACTGTCTACAGCAACATAAATGCATCTGTGCAAATTTTGTTAGACAGTAAAACAAAGTAATGTGATTCCCTCCTAATTTATGCAACTCTTTGACATAAATAATCTAGAAACATCCATTGAAGCTATTCATAGTTTCAATCACGCTAACTAATCTCTACTTTCAACATCAATGAAATAGTAATTTGACAATTGGAATAATGACGTTTTAAAATAAATCAATACTTACATTCTATGCACTACTAGACGTTCTATGAATGCATCTGTTCCGTTCACTTCTAACTCAACAACTTAACTCACAGAGTAAATCAACCAAAAAAACTGGTGATTTGGTGAATTAATACACGATAGTCACTCGCTATAACAATCTATCTTAATTTGATAAGCCATAGTCATTATTTCAATATACAATACTTTCTTCAACAATATAGCACCGTTTATACGCCAACTCGGTAATATTTATAAAATGTAACATATAATATTAAGATAATATAGATTGTTTCTCGTAAATTTCTCATAAACGGAACGATAAACTTAGACCGATCCATTTCAACCCCATTGTAACTCTGAGTATGCAAGCTAAGCATCACTTCAGAGTTTTATTGGGGTCTGACCAGAAGAGAAAAGAAACATACTGACCAAACTCACACGATGCACACTCTTTCATTTAAAGCTCACAATGCGTCAGAGTATTTGCGACATAATACACTAAATGGACACTAGTGAGTCGACGGTTTAAATCGTACCCCATCTACTTTAGTCTGGACAACTGAGCAGTATCATCAAAAATCACACTATGATCGTGGATTACGATACGCTACATGCAAAATATATCCGAGACAACTGAGTTCTTGTTCTGCTTTGAATTATCAGTAGGGATAGGGTTGATTTTAGGGGGTACGACCACTAGCCTTACAGTCAACCTTCCCCTTTTTTCCGGGATAAGGATCGGGTATTAAACTAGTGAATTAGTAAGCTGAGTCAACATAAGGACTCTATAAGACTTGGACTTGGGGAACGATTCACGTCAAAGACATACAGACGGAAACCAACAGGATGGTAGAAGAGGCAGGCAGCGAAGACATGACTTCAAGTGAATACAGAGAAGACAGAAGATAACCAACAAACAAATACGGGCACTAATCAATATCAACGGGAGAAATTTGAAAGAGGTCACTTTTTCACTTATTTAGGCAGAATCATTGAAACTACAAGGGACACAGATGAGGATGTCTAAAGCAGAATTGGAAAAGCGAAACAAATATGTATTACTCTGAAATCAATTTGGAAATCAGATGCAACCAGAGTATGGAGCAAGATTCGGATTCTCAACACCGATGTTAAGTCAGTCCATCTATATGAGCCAGAGTAAGTGCATCACGAAAGTCAGAATGAAGAGTTTTACCAACAGCTGCCCCCTTGGATCCACACTGATCGGAGTTAGCCAGAACCGATTAGCAACAAGAAACTCTGAAATCGAACTAACCAACGACCTATGGCCAAACAAATATGCTGAAAGGGATGGAGATGGATCAAACACATGCTGAGAACTGCTGAATGACATAGCACGCTAGGCCCTCAAGTGGAACCCCTATGGGAAAGGGCAAGTTAGGCGTCAGGATCTCACATGGAGGAGATCGCGTGAGATCAAAGTTTATAGGAGGTTATGGAGCCAAATAAACAGGACTGTAGAGAATAGGGTGAAATGGAGATGCGCTATTGAAGCCCTATGTTCCACTCCGAAACCAAAGGAATAATAACAATATAGCAGGTTTAAACAGATTTGTAGCAGCGGGACGAAAATATGCCCCATGAGTACTATATAAGAGAGAATCCTTAGGCTGCAGAAGTATCAAAGAAACACTGAATTAGCTCTGTAACACACATTACCGGAAAATGGAATCAGAAGAGATCCCAAATAGCACTTGCATCGGTCAAAATTGATAACTTTTGGACACCACCATAACGGTTAAATTGTCTTCAATATGACAAATTAGATTTTTGCTTCTACTTTACCAGGAGCCACGGTACAAATAGTTCCATTAGTAAAGTACAGTAGTTTCAGTGCATAAAAGACCTTCGATACATCGGGTGCTTCATAGATAAACGGAGAACTAGAGAAGCACTTCAAAACATTCGGACATAGGAAATCTTAGTTATTTTTGACAAAACATCGGAGATCAATAAGTACACCAAGAGTCTTTGGCGTTCACTTTCCCAAAACCTCTGAGGTATAACAGATTTGAGGAAAGGCATGAAGAAATAACAAACGATTATTGAATGTGATCAAGTCATACAAATAAATATAATAGACTCCAAGTGAAATAGGTAATCCTATGAGTACAAGTCTATGTAAGCACGACTATGGGGGTAGGAAGTCAGTGCTAACGCAGACAAACTTCACCCAAAGAAACAAGCAATTAGCTGAACCAATAGCAGTGGAAAACTCCACGAAAATCAAAATCAAACACAGTCATAAAAATATATATTGTATTATAATGACAAAAAGTATGTACAACGCCATGTGCAGACAACGAAAGATATTAACAGTCACATTTATAGTTCATTCGTTTAGTCTGCCAACTGACCTACAGTATTCAATTCCCAGCTATTTATGACACAACTGCAAGAGACCGAATTAGTGGTCAGTATTAAAACAATGGTCTAGATGGCGTGTGAGAAACCGGTGTATCACTAGGAGATAATAGACTTGGTAAAGGAATGTCTGTTAGGAATTTGGTATCGCTATGTAGCCAAATTATGTGCACCTTATCTTTAAATCACCATTTGCGCAGATCTCATGCTGTGCTACTTCTGGCCTTCATATATTGTTTCTTTGTGTCCCTTTCACGTCCCCCGTGTATCTCTGTGAGAGTCATTTGATTTCTCTGACATCAAATCTATTTCCTTGCTATTTGGTGTTTTATGCCGATGAACATCTCTTTATGAGTAGCACACGCCACACCACCTTCCAATGAAACCGCAAACTCAGTGACCAGCGGTGGATTTGGCAGATAGATTGACGAGGCTGAGTAGTGTAGTACCCGAAAATGGATAGAACCAACTATTTGAAAGGGTTCGTGAACTCCTGGAGGCCATCTTCTAAACTGTGGTTACGTGTTCGGTACTTTCATTCTATACACGCTATACGTGTACATCCAAAGGCCTATTCTAAGACAGTTAACAGTATTCAAATTCTCTGCAGTCGACAGTCACAGGGCATCAGTTTTGCCAAACTCCTGTGAACGCTCTTCCAAACTAACTGGTTATCTCTCTGCGTCACAGAAGTTACTGGAAAACTTTAAAGCCAGCAGCTGTTTCATAAGTCACTTCAATACATTTACTAACTACTTACCTAGCGATTCCTAGGGAAACACAATTGTGTTTTGCAGGTAGCACTCTAGATAATAATGAAGTAAATAATACAGAATGTGAATACCAGTCTATGAATAACTATAGAGATTCATACACCTGATAAATGTGCATATAAATATGTCAAACAAAGGGAACTAATGGTCTAAAGTAATACAGAGTGGTTACACCGTCATAAAACAAGTTACGCTCTCATGGTTTTCAGTTTTCATAGCCGTCAAGGTCGTTAAAGCGTTTCAGTATCTAGGGTCCCGCTGGGTCGATTCAGTAGAAAGTGTAAAACACTCCTGACAAACAACATATTTGCAGCAATTATTTAGCCAAAGCTTGATAGGATATGAAAAGTTTTTGCGTCATGGCATTCAGTGAAGCGGTTTATGGTGTAAAATGCACAATGTGTTCATATGTTTCATCATGGTGTAACAACAGAAGACAAGGGCCAGCAACAGATCGTTTCATTACGGAAATCAACACGTATTTATATATATTTCATGTACATTATTATAGCTTATTCAAGCAGACAAACACAGTCTTCTGATCTGTTGTTTCTGGTTTCTCGGAAAGTTAAGCCATATATCTGCGAATCTTATTTGCCCACGTTAAGTCTGCTGTGATTGGTTGTTGAAACAGCCTTGTTCATATTTCCTCACGGCAAATATTAGTGACCTAGACATTGACGTAAATTAATGTCTACCGATTGGCTACCAGCCTGCTCTCACCACAATGGCACTTGCAGAAAATCCCTTCTGTAAAACTGTTTTTCTCTACCAGATGTTACGATATCTCTCTTTCACTTTGGTCCTTACTCTTTGGATTCCTTCTAATGCTGCTACTATGCAACAGAAATATTTGCTATCCATGACACCCAAATGAAGTCAGATGTTTGCCTTGTGTGGGAAATGGTACTGGTTTTCATCAAACTCGTCATAACGAAGATAGAGAATCGCTGATCCAGTTATAGCGCTTAAATTAGTGACATGATTAAAATGTGGCCGAAGGAATGTCTGCAGTTGTGGATCTCATCCCTCGGAGTGGCAACACAGGCAAATTAGGAGATCTATGTCACTATGAATTAGCCTATTTATATTCCCATCATAAATCTTTGCCTGTATGATATTTAGAGGCGATGGATTTAGCTCAATGAGGAACATGTGCGAGGATCTTGAGTGCCTTCGTCTCGTTTATAACATGTTTCTCAGCTCTCTGAAAGCAAGTTCACTCAAATTTCAGAACTTAGAGGGGATCAGACTGTTCAACCGCCTGCTAATTTTAGCCCTGGAATATCGCCTGTGTTATCTAGTTACCAAGCTATTATGGTTCCTCATGATATTAGCCGCGGAAATTCAATTCCGGCACCACAATACCTATGAGGTGGTGAGTCTAGTTCAAATGATCCCCCCCACCTTGTTACTACAACATAACATAGTAACATAGTTTTCTGTGCCCGCGAACCGCACACACTCTATTTTAAATCGCCACAATTATGAATATCTACTGCATCATGAGTACAGCTGTATAATCCAATGGATACAACTTTCTCCTCCCGGCACACTACCACATCCGGTAGACGTTTAGTCGGTGCAGAAATTCATCATAAGTTTGGCCTTATGCTTCCAGAACATGTAACCCACCCTGGGCACCTTGATTAGGTTTCGCGTTTGAAAAGTAATAGTCCACTGTGAGATTAAAAGGATTGGACGGTTTTCGACTTGATATGAAGGTTGGAAAAACCACCTCGATGCATACGGAGAGGGCTCCTGCAGTAGGAAGAATTCGGGGGACTGCTCTTGACTTTGTAAGTGACTTTGAATGGTGAATCAGTTGGAATTTTGTGGCAATATTATGGATAAACACAAATGTTTTCGATAATATAAATACTTTCTTGGGTCTGGGGACTTATTCACTTAACAGTTCGAGGGCAATATCCAGTTGCCTAATAAGACAGCGATTTGCACGTTTTATTTCAAAAAATGAGTACGCTAGCCAGCTAATTTTGCTTTTCCGTTTACTCCGTTTTACTGTCCCATCTTTGTTCCTATTCGTCAACATGTCTCCCCCTATTCTATTAACAGGTTACAATTACCTTATAATTTATTTGCTTCACTTTCCACTCCTCGCCTTTTAATACTGTGTCAACTGCTAGCTCACAAATTGGTTCGAGTACAGCCCTCACTCCCGTGATATAAGTGAAAGATGTTCTATTAGAGAACTCTGAGTTCTGTAAATTAACCCGCCTTATGAAAGACATCCAGAGGTAAGTAAGTGAACTTCAGGAAAAATTAGGTCAGTTTTAGAGCATGTCATTTCCAATCTCAAATATCACGGAGAACCGTTATGATATTGGCCAGGTTAAGTTTCTGCTGGGTTTAACTAAAAACACACCCAATAGCCTGAGTGTTAAAAAGATCATCCTAAAGTGTCTCCAGACAACCTAAATAAATCAAAGAATCTGGTTGACTACTTGGCTGCAGAAGTGATGAACCGTATAGCCTGTCCTCATTAAGCTATAGTCAGTAACCATAGCTCGGGATAAAGACCGTGTCAACGCAGAATAATGCACAGTAATAATCTGATCACCCCTGGATTAAATTTACCGAAAATCGATCGTGTACAGCATTAGTCACCTACTTTTGACAGTATCATTCAGCAAATTGCACAAAAACCACGCCTACCATTGGAACTAGGAACTCATTTAGATATCGGTATCCCTGTGAATAAAGCCTCAGCGGAGGACGTTAAAATAGCTAGAACTTCTGCAAGCTGTTCTAAGAAATTTTCACGATGAATCGATTTATCAGGATTGAGACTAATAATGGGAAAGAATACCGTCAAGGAACTTGACCCTAAGTTCCTATTGTTACGAAGACGCTCCAAACCGATAAATACTACGACTGATTCTCGACTTTAACTCCAAAACGCCAGCGGTTGTGAGAAGGAAGCTGTATTATTTGGCAATTAAAATCGAGGTTCGTGCATAGTCTGTGAACAAATGTTTTACAATAAATATACTCTAATTTTATTCGCGTTCATTCGTCTTCTTCGAACCTGTAAAAGATTGAACCATTCGCGCCTTCGAGTTGCCCACTAATGGCTACCAAGGCCAATGAACCAACGTTCAATGTTCACTTCCATTGACAATTACAGTATATTCAATAAGCTGGTTGAGAGTAAGCGTGCCAACAGACCCACACTTGATGCGAATTAATCCTCTCGAAACACAAGTATGCTTGATGGTTTTCAACATTCTCCGCCTTATAGGAACTTAGGCGTCATAAGCCCCGAATTCTCGCAACCGAAGCGACTTCCTCCACAATATCTTTCTAGTTATAAAAACAATATGAATATGTGTACCGGTATGACGAATAGTAGATTGATGGGCGGAGCTTTTGATGCTATGCCTTTTGATCCACAACCCGGGCCCAACCACTACTACCCTTATATCCAGGAACACGGTAAATGTTTTGAGTATCCGGGATCACAGGTACGACCCGTGACACCTAGGACCACCTCACCACACTCTAACTTCGATGTATGGACAACCAGTCCAACCACCTTTGCATTCATAAACTCCCTCGGTACTGACGCACGCATAGAATTAGGTTGTGGTGACATTTTAGGCCAGTTTGTGGTATCCCGTGACTTACAATATTATTAATTTATGCACCTTCCTTAACCAACAAGATATCTGAAATAAAGACATTACTGTTAGTCGCCAAGCCTACTGTAGCTCTGATAACTGAATCACGGTGCTCATCCTCTATACTTGATGTGCATACAGGTATAGATGATTGCACTCTACATATTTGCAAATAGAGACTGCCAGAGTAGCGTGGGATGTCTTAGATATATACATAACTTATTCGTAGTCAGTGAGGAGGAAGATGAAATACTGAATGAGGTGCCTGATTGACTCTGGGTTGTCTTACATGGAGGTAAGTGCAAACTTCTCATAGGCTGAGTGTATCGAGCACCATGCCCAAATAAAGAAACTGATACGTTATCAGCTAAATTGTTTGCACACGCCTCCTTGTTTAGTACTAATTATAAAATAATTGCACGGTGCTTAAATCTTCCAGACGCCAACTCGTTAAGCAGTTCCGGCCCGCTACTCTCCGACAAATTACTTGACACCGTCGACTGTTGCGGATGGCAACAATATGTCCAGACACCCACACGTGGTGATAACATGTTGGAAACTGTGTTTGGTCGTGAAACAATACCAGTCTCCAACCATGTTCGTAAAAGTTTTTCCAGTAGTGACCATAGAATGGTGCTCTGATCTCTGCCTTTCTCAGCACTAAAGACAGGAAACAAACAAGATTCAGGAAGCATGATATGCCGTAGTTACAACCACGCGGACTGACGACTGATCCAAGAACTCATTCGACGCTGCCAAGGGGATGACTATTTTACCACTGACTCCCTTGAGGCTGTAGTGTCCCCATTTTACAAGAATGTCACCCTTTCTCTGGATACTGTTGCGCATGAGAAGATAGTTAAATTAAGCAGACACCAATCCGAATACATTCAAAGGGCATACAACAAGGGCATACAACGAGTATCATGAATCTTTGAAGCGCCTACGCTCTCTAAAACGGGCCTCGATGTAGAGTCTACTGCACTTTAAAGTACCTCCAAAGTTTATTACTTCACAAAACTCCCTAAAAATTGTTGTGATCGACGACGAACATCCCCTACCTAACAAACGACAAAGTAATCTACAATGAGCCTGCCACCACCTGTGAACTTTTCAGTGAGTGGTTTGCGAAATTTAGTTTAGAAACACACAATTCTAGTGGAACTGCACCTCTTACTAGCTCCTCTATCAGGAGCATGGTACCCACCAATCAATTAATAGAACAAGCATTTAGTAGCCTTAGACCTTCTACTGGCACCCAACCGGATGGCCTTGCTTCAATTATTTTCAAAATCAGTGGATGTGATATTCCCCTATTACTTCTTAAATCCTTCTCAATATCTTTGGAAACTAGCACTTACCCCAATGAGTGAAAAACTAGCTTCATAATTCTGCAGTACAAAACTGGTGTTAAGGCAAACATGCGCAATTACAGACCCATAAATACAACCCTAGTTATCTCGTGAATCATGGAAAAAGTTGTCAAAGGTCAATTATCAGACTATCTATTTAGGGGGATCTTGCTACAAGGTCTCAACATGGGTCCTGTGTTACTTGTCACATGGACTTTTTTGACTGCATCATG